TTAGTGTAGCCTACTTGTGTGCCAAGTTATATTGAAATCAGATCAAAACTGTAGGAGGAGTAGCATTTTGAATGTTTTTCACAGAAATTTCTATTTTTAGTAACCATGGCAACACCGTTCATCGAAATCAAAAATCGATACACAGAATTATGCATCTTTGTATAGTCTACTTGTGTGCCAAGTTATATTGAAATCAGATCAAAACTGTCGGAGGAGTAGCATTTTGAATGTTTTTCACAGAAATTTCTATTTTTAGTAACCATGGCAACACCGTTCATCGAAATCAAAAACCGATATACAGAATTATATATCTTTGTATAGTCTACTTGTGTGCCAAGTTATATTGAAATCAGATCAAAACTGTAGGAGGAGTAGCATTTTGAATGTTTTTCACAGAAATTTCTATTTTTAGTAACCATGGCAACACCGTTCATCGAAATCAAAAATCGATACACAGAATTATGCATCTTTGTATAGTCTACTTGTGTGCCAAGTTATATTGAAATCAGATCAAAACTGTAGGAGGAGTAGCATTTTGAATGTTTTTCACAGAAATTTCTATTTTTAGTAACCATGGCAACACCGTTCATCGAAATCAAAAACCGATACACAGAATTATGTATCTTTGTATAGTCTACTTGTGTGCCAAGTTATATTGAAATCAGATCAAAACTGTAGGAGGAGTAGCATTTTGAATGTTTTTCACAGAAATTTCTATTTTAAGTAACCATGGCAACACCGTTCATCGAAATCAAAAACCGATACACAGAATTATGTATCTTAGTGTAGTCTACTTGTGTGCCAAGTTATATTGAAATCAGATCAAAACTGTAGGAGGAGTAGCATTTTGAATGTTTTTCACAGAAATTTCTATTTTTAGTAACCATGGCAACACCGTTCATCGAAATCAAAAACCGATACACAGAATTATGCATCTTAGTATAGTCTACTTGTGTGCCAAGTTATACTGAAATCAGATCAAAACTGTAGGAGGAGTAGCATTTTGAATGTTTTTCACAGAAATTTCTATTTTTAGTAACCATGGCAACACCGTTCATCGAAATCAAAAACCGATAGTCAGAATTATGTATCTTAGTGTAGTCTACTTGTGTGCCAAGTTATATTGAAATCAGACCAAAACTGTAGGAGGAGTAGCATTTTGAAAAATTGTTTACAGACGGACGGACAGACAGACAGACAGACAGACAGACAGACGGACGGACGACGGACACATTACTATCGCATAAGCTCTTCTGGTCTCTGACCAGTAGAGCTAAAAACATGGAAATAAGTCGGAGATTAAGAATGTTTGGCATGTGTGCTACACAATAAGCCAGTTGATCTGCAAACAATAAAAAATATGACAGCTTTTCAATCATTAACCGAGTACAGTAAACATTTTATGTTGACTGTGAAAAATACACCATCAAGAAAACTTCTTTTATATCATGGTTATGTGAATTCAAATTAAGGAAAAAGCATCACAATTACACAAAACAAATAACAGCTGATAATTTATCTCTAATAGCCCATTTCTGTTCAATCGCTACATCATCAGGTTTATCGCTTGTGGATTGAAACATAGCATATCCTCATCAAATCAATTTTACATTGGAATGTAAGACATTTTGATAACGATATTTTCAGTAAATAATCTTTTAGTCTTTGCCGTAAAATTTCAAGAATAAGCTCCGAAACGTACATATAAAAAGGCCTGTATAAACATATGTACAAGTACATGTTACAAAATTTTTTAGCCTTACTCTTTAATCTTAATGCAAAAAATTCTGGTCTTAAACTCTTTACTTCAAATGAAAGGAAACAAATTAATTTCTTACTCTTGCAATATAATATACATTAAAGTCACTATTTACCCTATTTACTCAGAAATGTCTTTATCTGGTCTATTTTTTACATCTAAGACAAACTAAGCCACTGACAGAGAAGCCTCACTCGCCCACAAGCAACAGCAAAAGGATTGGTCATAGACACCACCTTTCTCTTACTTGGGTATCAAGATCTGCAACTTACTGCCAGCAAAGCTCTTTCAGACTACCCTTGCATTGTCTCCTATTTCTTTTCACAATAATTGTCCATACACTAATTATTTAAGTCAAACTTGTACATAAATGTAATTTATAAATCAAGATTAAAAATGTATGTGCACGTGTACTATACAAAATAAGCGAATCGATCTTCAAACAATAAAAAATATGACTGAGTTTTAATCTGTAACCAAGCATCAGAAAACACTTTAACTGTCAAAAATACAACACTAGGTATATTTTTCTTATATAACATTTGAATGTGTCAATTCAAGTTAAGTAAAAAAAGCATCACAATTATGCAAAACAGTAGCAACTCAGATATTTGATCTCTAATAGCCCATTTCTGTTCAATCGCTACATCATCAGGTTTGTCTCTTTTGGATTCCTTATTTATCCTAATTCTTCTGATGCTCTGCCTTTTAGACAGCTTTGATTTGTGAGTGGCACTTTTGGTGTCTAGTTCTTCGAATACTTTTTAACATTCATCAGAACGCCACTTTCTTTGGTACATCACCATTCTTTGCTTTAATGGAATCAGCTTTTGCAATCGGCGTTTCTTCGTCTTGTATGGATTGAAAGTATATGTGTATTGCACCTAAAATATGACATTGCAGCAAAAATTAGCAAAAGTTAAGAATGTCTGAAATCTTTAGTTAGATACACTATTTAATAAATGATTATTAAGATTCTTTTTCAAAACTTGAGATTACAATCACACATATATCAAATATCCAAGGTTGTAAAGTAAACCCACAGCTAGAGTAACATATACCCTTTATTGACTGTGAGCAAATTAACATTTACATTTATTTAATTCTAGACATTAACAATGAAAAAATATAATTATAAAAAATTTTGAGCTCTGCAGAGCTCCAGATAATTTTTTACCTCAAAGTGTATTTACTCCCTGATTTTGAAATCAATGCAGATTTTGCTTTTCAGCAAAATAATCAAAGAGTATTATGTTAATCAATTGCTCTTTTGACATCTAATGTTGGACAGTGATCAGAAATGGCGGCGGGAATGTTCGAGTAACCGCCGTATTACGTTTTCAACAAGATTTTTAGCTTGTTATTGATACAAGTGTTTTTGAAAGAGGAATGTAAAAGAAATGTTAGTTTCTGCATTTATCAATTAGGTTAATGAAATTTTAAAAATTTTGTCAGCTTTTAGTTATAACTGAGAAACATTTCGGTTTTTTTTTCACAAGAAAGACCATACGATAGGCAAAGTTACCACGGGCACGCTGAACTCCATTTAAGACTAGGCCTATATCGATCGTAGCAAGAGTTACCGAGACCTTTGGCCAAATAAAATTAATCTTTAGATTCTAATCCCCACCTGCCCCTCTCAAAATATCCAGCCCCATTGTTTTTCCGTGTTGTTTGTTTGTTTGTTTGTCTTTTTAATCAGAAATATATACTAGGTTTTGCTATATAAATTGTTGGCATCGACAGAGGTAAAAGTTTTAGAGTTACTCCCTGTTTGCACTAAAAGTCGCGTGGTGCTATTTATAGCACAAGAGCATGTGAAACGCAAAAAAGCAATATTTTCATACAATTAATAAAAGTTGTCGGCGGACTATAGATGATATTGTTGCTACAGAAAATGGTTAATATACAAGAACTGTTTAATAAACAGTGATAACGAATAAATTACAGACAACGCGTGTTCAATTTTGCCCAATTTTGACAATATCACCTGTACGTGTCAAAAACGAAAATTTGGATGTTATATGAACAGTGGGAATCTGTGATATTTTCAGACAAAGTACGAGTATTTAATATTCAAATCTTTCTCTCGAACTGGAAATCGGTCTAGGTTATTCCAAATACGCTTAATCAAAATTTCCTTTTGATAAAAATTCAAACACTGAGCTGACTTCAATTCACATAATGAGTTAAAATCCAATCCATTGTACGCAGTACTTTCGTAGTGTAATGCTTATTTATGATTGCTAATGCGTAAATGTACGCCCTATTTTAAATTTTAATGCGTATTTTGAAAAATTCAATGCATATTTCTGCAAATACGCACCTTATCTGGAGCTCTGGCTCTGTGTCCAAGTCTTTTTGAATTTTGCACTTGGTTGATCTCTTTCAGAAGTTAACAATTCTTTTCTTCCACTATCATCATATGAGCAATGTTTGAATTTTTGACTTGCAAATCAAATAAAAAATTACATGATTAAATTAAAGTATATTTATATAAATGATACCATCATTCACCAGATGTATTAAATATTATACAATTATGGACTCTTTTGGTGTTGAATGTGGTTTGTTATTCACCACTCACCAGAAAAATATCAATATTGACCGAGACGAAGCCGAGGTCAATATTGATATTTATCTGGTGATTAAAAAACTATATTCAACACCATAAGAGTCCATAATTATTGTTTTGTTATATAGTCCAGATTTGAATAAATAAGATATTGAAGGCTGCATGACGACACCATTTTCATTTAAGAACTTCCGTCATTGAAAATAGAAAAAAAATGTTCAGATTACAATTTGTAACTTCCGTGTTTTCCTTTCCGAGTTACGCTATGTGGAATATGTCCAAATAATCCTGCGATAGGTTTAATGTATACCATTTTTCCTGCTCAGATACACAGCTGGCTGCGGCCGTTGCAACCATTGTTTACAATGTTGTTTGAGGTGTTGATTGTGACGTCACAATGCATGCGCACTAACCCTCCGGTAAATAAGGCCTCAAATCCGGTGATTATGTAGTGTTATGAACTGTTTACGCTTGTATAGATTATGTAAGGACTTTAAATAGACTATATAATAATAAAGTATGTTTAACATACATTTAAATATTATTATATAAACTTCACATTTTTTATTCTAGATTAAAGATATGCTTTATACTGACCTCTGACAAATGCTCAGCAAGCTAGATAGATGCCTACGATGTACTGGCATATATGTTCAGTCATTCGTTGTTTCCATCTGATGAAGGTCTGCAACACATGATCTCATCATATCAAATTACCTGAATTCCATTTAAAGAACAGTACTATAAATTTTATTCCACAGAAAATATTCTACATAATCCATAAACTAATACTTTTACCTTTAACATAATCATTCCAGCATTTGAAATTGAATGTGATTCAAAAATAAATTACTAAGTAATGGTATATGCATGTTCTATATCAACATTTCTTATCCACTAGATAGCTATCTCTATCATAGCTTAATTGTTGGTAGATTGTTTATTTTCTCTTGTCTTTCAGTAAAAATTTAATAAATACTTCAAACCAACAAAGGATCCAAAGGCCACATCACTCACCTGAGCAACCATGGCCATAACTTCGACCAAAACAAAAAAAAGGTGGGGGGATGGGGGGTCAGGAGCACCTCATGGGGTCATATAACACTTGAAATGCTACACAAGTTGTGTGGTGTATCAAGTGTTTTTAAGATCTGACAATTGCAAGGAACAAGAATATATGATTTAGTGTAGCCCCACCCTACTTTCGGGTGATCAGCATGTCATAGTACAATTTTCATATGATATGTATTCATATCAATACACAATATTTAAGGTGCCAAGTAGAGTTTGGTCATCTGATATCCTGTTCAACTATGTCTGACACACATGTACAGATATTTAATCACATATCATGGAAAACAATAAGGTACGATGATTTGAACAAACTAAAAGCTACTTTAATTGAGGATGCTTCAACATAAGTTTCAATTTTTCTGGATAAATGGTTCAAGATTTTCTTTTAAATTGCCAATACATTTTCATTACATTTGAATCATCTCCCCTTGAAAATGTTACTAGTTTTTTTATGGTTAGATAGAAAGACATTTTCATTAAATTTAAATCATCTCCCCTTGAAAATGTTACTAGTTTTTTTTTTTTTTTTTTTTTTTTGTGGTTAGATAGAAAGACAGATGGAAGACGACAAAATATGATCAGGAAAACTCGCTTAAGCTTTCAGCTCTTGTGAGCTTAAAAGTACATGTTATTAATATTTTTCTTACTTCAACGTTTGGTTTCCACCATCAGATTTCAGTTTCCATTCAAGCTTTTGTGAATTGTCATGGGGATATCCATCATGCGCAGCAGTCTGAAAGTATACATTCACAGATTAACATATCAATTACAAATAAAACATCCTGATTATGCCTTTAAATGAAATCATTTGAAGCTAGACACAATGATAGTACATCATTTAGCTTTATCATAATACATATTGCTTTATTATAATTGCAGCTTTAACAAAACAAGAAATCTGTGAGCCAATCATGAATGCTCAATAGTGATATAACCAACCAACCCCCCAACCCCCCAACCCCCCTTTTCATGTGAATACACAAGTCAGTTAAAAATAACTGTGATATCATCATGATCATTTGACAAGAAGTTGACATAACATTTAAACAAAAATGAATCCCAGTAATGTATTCCAGAGTTAGTTACGATACTTGTACAGGTACAGTATACATTATTACATTGTATATGGGAATAACATATATACATATACTGCAATTACGGCAATTCTGCAAAACTCCTTTATAGCAAATTTCAAGGGACCAAAGAAAGATCTTCGCTATAATCTTAATTCATTATATGTTTAATATAGTGAATTCATAAGAAATCCTTTACCGAATTTGTTATAAAACAGTCAGCTGACAGTACTTCAAACTATTGTATGTTATATAATCGATATCACCCTCAGTTACAAAAATTGTCAATACAACCTTTTCACTTCCTTAGATGCACAATTAAAGAATTTAGTGTATAATATTTAGATTTGAACATTTAATAGCGATTCTCTGTAACCACTTAAACTTCTTTGCCACGCATGGTCACCGATTTTGATGAAACTTTGCCCATTATTACAACTTGACACCAGGAACATATATTAAATAAAATTTCGTTGCTATGTGTCTTGGTTGCCATGGTAACAGCCAGAAAAGTTGAAAAAATTGAGATTTTCAGCTACTTTGAATCTTTATTACAGTGCAGGGAACTAATTTTGTTACATAAACCAGCATCAGCATAAGCATTAGTAGCATCAGGATCGAGCTAGCATCAGGATCAGTATTTAAAAAACAGCATTACCAGGATCAGCATCAGCAAGCATAGGATAAAACCAGCATTGACCTACATAAAACCAGCATTATCCTACTAGCATCAGAAAATCAATGAGTTTTAATTCAGTAAAAAATTAAAAAAGAAAGAAAGAATGTTGGTTAAAGTATTCACATTATTAATACATAGTGAGATATTATGATCAAATAATTGTAAAAGGCACTTTTATTGCTTTAAACAGCAATGCTGAAATTCATTATCTACTTCCGGTAGCATGATGTGCTTCCGGTAGCATTGACCTAATTATAAAACAGCATCAGGATAAGGATTACTAGCATTTAATCAGCAAGCAAAGGAAGCATTCAAATCAGCAAGCAAAGGAAGCATTCAAATCAGCATAGATGCTGTAACAAAATTAGTTTCCTGCACTGTACGCCTTAATAAAGACTAAGAAAAACAAACAAACCATTCTCTCAAAAACATGACACCTTGTTGCCACTTATGCTATAAAGAAACTATTTAGAATTTATCTCTTAGTAAGTGGTTACCATGGGTACATTTGGAATACATTTTAGATGCTGAAAAATGCTGAAAAACGCTCAATATTCACCAATGATAGATGTTACATGATCAAACTCAATCAACAACCTAAGAAAAACAATAAAAAATATTTGACCTTATGTAATTAGGTATTGGCAATATTATTCTAAAAATAACTTTCATGGTTGTCATGGTAACACAGCGTAACCACGCAAAATCTGTTGCTATGATTGGGTTAATGCTACTATCTTGAGGAAAAACAATAAAATTCATGACTAACACATATGCATCCTTGGAACCTTGCAACACCGACAACATAAGAAAAATTGGGATTAAATGTTACTTTGCATTGTAACCATGGAAACAATGTATCAGTCGTTTAAAGTGATATTTTTTGCTCCTTTAGGAATTTACTTACCTTTTAATCAAGAAACATATTATTTAACTCACCTTGAATACTACTTAACTGGTAGAACTAAAGTTGAATATCATATATTGATAAAGTTTGTTGGAAAATACATCACTGTTGCTATGGTTTCCAAGAAGGGAAAATGTTCAATTTTGTTAATTTTATATCAATATTAAACCTTATGTGCCAGCTTTTTGCATCCAGTTAGAGATTGGATGGTAGTCAAAATTCAAAGTCAGGTTAGTTGTTCATATATATCAATCATAAAAGTTTTGGGAATCTACTTGCAAGGGTGCGTATCCAAGGAAACAGAATATTTTTCAGATTTGTATGCATATTTTTTCGGCTAATTTCCATAGCAACGCTCTATTTAAAGAATTGAGTTTGAATTTTTTGAAATGTGAAAATTAGGGTCACACCAATGCCTTTAAAAATTGATCATCAGTTACATAGAAATATGCTTTTTAAAAAGATAGGATAAGATTAAAACACTAAGAGAGTAAATTTAAAATCCTTTCGAGGTAAATAAACCATAGCAACCGTTGCCAACCTATAAGAAATATCATATTTCGTCCTTGGTATATGTTACAAGGATCTCTTGTCTATTATTTGCTTGCATTTCAACCTATAATTGTTTTTATTCTTAAGTATATGACTTTATAAAATTAAATGAACAAAATTATTACTTTTGAATACTTTGTTTCCATAGTAACGTATGTAATAGTTGATTTACCAAACGTGTTTATCATGCATTTAAGACATCAGGCCTTCAACTTTCAGAAACAGTCATTGTCACTTGTTTGCTTTGCTGCAAACGTTAACTGGGGGACTCTGAACATGTTGAAAAATGCCATTTTTCAAACGTTAGGACATGTTGCTATGGTAACCATGACACGTAGCAACCAATTTTTGCCTGACGGTATCAAAGACTTTTATCATAGAGAGTTTGGAGAAATTCTGAGACTATGCGTGCCACAGCTCCTATATAAAAGTTCAAGTCATTACAGAGAATGGCTCTTAAATATTATCTAACCAATGCATTTGAAATGTCAGAAAATAATGAAACCTGCCATATATATTCATCCTTTAGCTGCATAATCATATCCATGCTATCGGATACATCTGTAACAAATTAAAAATAGAACCGATGAAATAAAGATTTTATTTCCAGAACAATTTTTTTAATTGTGGCAAATATATATGATTTACATACATGGTGACTCACAAACATACGAAGTATTTATTGATGACTCGGGTGTCCACAACTCAAATTTATTGTCAACATGAACAATATCATTAAAGGATCCATTAAATTTCTGAGTTAACAATGCTAATGTAGTGTCATCTGCATCTTCATCGAACTCCTCACCATGATCTTAAAATCTTATGTATATTTAATGAAATTTGTAATGAAAAATATTTGTTATACTTAAATGAAAAAAAAATGCATTAAAATATCTTAAAATTACTTCGTTATAGCCATAAATTTGTTATATATAGCCATGTTCGTTACATACAGCGATTTTCTATAGGTTTATATAAGGACTTTGCTGGACATGAATAAAAGTTCGCTATCTGTATCTATGTTTGTTAAATTTGAGTTTTGCTGTATATAGGAAATAGAATTTCAAGCATCTGCAATTAGCAGTTGCTGAGAACTGTGATGGAAATTCGTTATGGACAAAAAAATGCATGCACAGACAGACAGACAAAAACGGTATTATACTGCCCTCTCATTCTGAAGGGACCTAGCCGGGGTACAATTATTCGGCCTATAAAAAATGTTTTGTTTGGTAATGAATTCTTGCATTCTTTTAATTTCAGCTATAGAAATAATGAAATAAAACTTTTGCACATTAATTCTATTTGAGTAATACAGTACATTTGTGTATCTCTATAATCGCAAAACCCCCTTACTCCTTCACTTTCGGGAAACTGTGAGCTGTTAGTAAACAAATGCGATTGTAATGTCATTTTCTACATGCAGAAAAACTACAAAATCAAATGCCGAGAAATTAGTACAGTCAAGTTCAAGAATGCGATAAAAAAATATTAAATAGCAATTACACTTGATCTATTGTATCTATCATATTTTATGTGAAATCAGCGAATACTTTTTCCTTTATCAGTGAGTGTTTATGCACTAATCCATCGCTATTCCTCCGACATGTGTGTAATAGCGAGTGCAGCGAGGCGGCGCAAAGCGCCGCTCACGTAGCGAGCTCCATAGACAACGTGCATGAACGGAGGAAATTCGGGTTGAAATCTGCACATTGTTCAAAGAAATTTTTATCGTCCCACGTGAAAATATTCCATACTCCCAATAATCCTCTGCGGTGCATAGCAACATGGTGGCATAAGCATAACAACAACTTACTTGATAAAATTAATAAATAACGAATTAATTCAATTTCCATGTGCCGTAATTACCCACAAAACTATCGCTTGCGTCCTTGGTAAACACGACTTTGTACGTGATGTCATATTTTTGTCACTTCACTGACTCGGGATTTCCAATTTTGTCGGAAATATCCGAGAAGCTAGGAATTTCGATCTCGATGCATTGGGAGTCTGGAACATTAGAGAATATGTACGTCAATAACGGTTTAAAAAAAATTATGTACGATACTCAGTAAACGTGCAATAAAAGTGTAATAAGCAGAATGTAAAACGACATTTGAGATGTGTTGAGTTTTAGAAAATGAACTGCGCTCGCCCTAACGGTTTCACCGTCGGACATATTATGCTCATTTTTACATGTCAGTCATTTTTATGAAGGTTTTAGCCAAAGGATTATTATGACATACCATATTGAATAGTTATACGGCTAAAAATATTTTATTTTTCGTCTCAAATTGCCCCAATATGCTACGTTGGATATAACATAGTGTGACGTTCATTATATATACGAGTCATCTATAGATATTGAAGGTCATCATGGTCATGTTGCACGTTTTTTAGTGTTGATGTCGCTGCAGAACTGTAGCTCTCCGAAAAAATATATATTGACAGACCGGAGACTGGTCGTCCATCCCAATTGTTTCAGACCAGCGAGCTAGATTTTGCAGCTAGTGTTGATGTACATGTAAATAATGACTTTTTCGCCATCTTTTTTTCTTAAACAGTATGTTTACCTGCTTGACCTTGAGCATGTTGAGGTGCCCTTTTCTTCCCTTTCTCAAATGTCTTGCATTTTCCCCAACAATTTCATCGATGTATGAATCCGATGGTTCTGGTGAATCGGAACTATTCCATAAGCATGATAAGGATCCATCCTCCTCACTAATTTCCGATACTTGGCCTGTCCGACATGTTTGGTGCTGTTTGGCGGGCTCGGAATATTCGCGATGCTGCTGCCTGATTTTGATTGGCTAATTCATAATTATGTATCGCGTGCGCGTAGAGGGAAAAATCATTTTATATTAGATAGGCCTATTTGATTTTTTTCATTATTATTTCTCAAACTTTAAAAGGAAAGAAAATTAAAAAAAAAAGATTTTGATTTAAATTTTTTGGAAGGGCAGATAACTCTATTATAAAAAAAAAAAACTGAGCCTGAGGTGTAAATGACATATTGATGAGTTTTAGCTCTACTGGTCAGAGACCAGAAGAGCTTATGCGATAGTAAGGTGTCCGTCGTCCGTCCGTCTGTCTGTCTGTCTGTCTGTCTGTCCGTCTGTCTGTAAACAATTTTTCAAAACACTACTCCTCCTACAGTTTTGGTCCGATTTCAATATAACTTGGCACACAAGTAGACTACACTAAGATACATAATTAAGTGCATCGGTTTTTGATTTCGATGGACGGTGTTGCCATGGTTACTAAAAATAGAAATTTCTGTGAAATTTCTTTAAAACGCTACTCCTCCTACAGTTTTGGTCCGATTTCAATATAACTTGGCACACAAGTAGACTACACTAAGATACATAATTTGGTGCATCGGTTTTTGATTTCGATGGACGGTGTTGCCATGGTTACTAAAAATAGAAATTTCTGTGAAATTCCTTTAAAACGCTACTCCTCCTACAGTTTTGGTCCGATTTCAATATAACTTGGCACACAAGTAGACTACACTAAGATACATAATTTAGTGCATCGGTTTTTGATTTCGATGGACGGTGTTGCCATGGTTACTAAAAATAGAAATTTCTGTGAAATTTTTTAAAACGCTACTCCTCCTACAGTTTTGGTCCGATTTCAATAAAACTTGGCACACAAGTAGAATACACTTAGATACATAATTTAGTGCATCGGTTTTTGATTTCGATGGACGGTGTTGCCATGGTTACTAAAAATAGAAATTTCTGTGAAATTCCTTTAAAACGCTACTCCTCCTACAGTTTTGGTCCGATTTCAATATAACTTGGCACACAAGTAGAATACACTTAGATACATAATTTAGTGCATCGGTTTTTGATTTCGATGGACGGTGTTGCCATGGTTACTAAAAATAGAAATTTCTGTGAAATTCCTTTAAAACGCTACTCCTCCTACAGTTTTGGTCCGATTTCAATATAACTTGGCACACAAGTACACTACACAAAGATACATAATTTAGTGCATCGGTTTTTGATTTCGATGGACGGTGTTGCCATGGTTACTAAAAATAGAAATTTCTGTGAAATTCCTTTAAAACGCTACTCCTCCTACAGTTTTGGTCCGATTTCAATATAACTTGGCACACAAGTAGACTACACTAAGATACATAATTTATTGCATCGGTTTTTGAATTCAATGGACGGTGTTGCCATGGTTACTAAAAATAGGAATTTCTGTTAAATTCCTTTAAAACACTACTCCTCCTACAGTTTTAGTCTGCTTCTAATATAATTAGGCATACAAGAAGACTATACTAAGATACATAATTTATTGCATTGGTTTTTGAATTCGATGAACAGTGTTGCCATGGTTACTTAAAATAGAAATGTCTGTGAAATTCCTTTAAAACGTTATTCCTCCTACAATTTTGGTCTGATTTCAATCTAATTTGGCACACAGTTAGAATACACTACGATACATAATATGTATTTCTGTTTTTTTTTTATTTGGGTGAATGGTGTTGTCATGGTTACCGGTACTAAAAATAGAAATTTCCGTGAAATACTTTCAAAACGCTACTACTCCTAGTTTTCATTTGATTTCAATAAAACTTGTCACAAAAGTAGACTACATTAAGATACATAATTCTATTAATTGTTGCATGTTGCAATGTTTCAAATCCAAGTGCTACTTTTCTTTTGTTATACAAACAGACCAGTGGAGCTACAGTCTCATCAGAGACTTCTGGTTTTCCCTAACATTTAGATATGTTAAGTAAATTAGATTTAAGTCGTCTTTAAGAATTTTAAATATATGAGCATTTATTCATGTTTATAGATGAATACAATAGTAAATAACAATCTATGATTATTAAGAGTATAGCACAGTCCAATTTTTACAAAATTCGACATTTGCAAATACAGCAGCGATCACAGTATAAAGTAAAATCTCTTTCGAATTAAATCTCTCTCTCTCTCTCTCTCTCTCTCTCTCTCTCTCTCTCTCATGATATTCTCCTGAATCAAACGTTATATCAAAAATTCAAATATCTTTATTCATTTGGTTCATAATAAAATTGTTAAAAATTCAGGGTGGGGCACCTGTTTTTAAAGTATGTTCTACCAATATTTTTGATGACAGTGGTCTATCGCCAGAATACTTGAATAAGTAGTAAGTCTTGCGTCATTCTCAAATTAATTTTTGTACGTTCAAAGATCTGATTGAATTAATATTTTATGCAATGCGTTAAGTAAAGGCTGAGAGAGAGAGAGAGAGAGAGAGAGAGAGAGAGAGAGAGAGAGAGAGATGATCCTTTGAAACTGGACAATTTTGGCTACCAAACGGGATCGAGTAGGTTTTAGAATAAACAGCATCAAAGTAAACAGAACAATTTGATCCAGTTTCATAATACATTTTTTTTCGACAAATCTAGATCTAGTACTACCGTACTAATAATATACATTGTCAATATTAAATTATTTCAGAGTTAATAAAAAGCCAAACAAAAGCGATATATGTAGGATGCTTTAATGTAAATGTTTTTGTCTTTTTGCAATAATAAATATGTAAACAATATTTATTCTGTATAAAAATAAAAAAAATTACTGACACATTATTTATCACATATATAAAATACCAAAAACATACTTAAACTTAAAGTATAAGCGGATTTACTTTTACATGTCGATTTTCTTAAACGAAGCGTATAATATCTTCTATTAAACTATATTATTCTCGATGTTTTTTGCATTAAATCTGATCATACTTATTTGAAAAATGTAGTAAATTATATTACAATATATTTTATATATAATGTAACGTTATACATAAATTAAATTCAAAACAAGAAATTTAATTAAGTAAACAAATTTATTAAATTATATTAAACGCAACTTTTCATGCAGTGTTAAGGCTCTGGATTGACTGAATCGTCAGCGTATCATTCATATTGTCACTGATACTGAAAATACATTTGATTGGATATTTCTGTAATATCTTAAAGTTCAAATTTTATTTCAAAAATTACACACTTCTCTGACTACAATAAGCTTTTTATTTCAAATAAATACAAGATATGATATGATGTCAAATGCAAATAACAATAATTATGGAAATTTATTTTCTAAATTAAGAACAACGTCAGATAGGGAGGCTCATGAGGATTTTGTCTTGTATGTTTGAACGCAATATCTTCTATTGAAAATATTATATATATATATATATATATATATATATATATATATATATATATATATATATATATATATATATATATATATATATATATATATATATATATATATATATATATATATATATATATATATATATACTTTACGGATTAACCTATCCCTCAGAAATGGTCGATTATCATTATTGAAGATAAAGAACAATGATTATTTACATAAATGCAGTAATCAGAACAGATCGAGAACAGGGCATAAAGGACCCTTGTAAACAGCGGAGGAGGTGGGATCATGTACCTCAGAGGAGTAAGCATCCCATGTTGTCCTGTTATACCAACGTAAGACCGTACCTGTGTATCAACCAGGTATACAGAGTCATAATTGTTATACCAACTTAAGCCCTATGTATTAATAAGGTATTCGGAGTACTCCACAGTCAAAGCAATTACAAAAGCAACGGCCTAACAAATACTTTGAAATTTGTCAAACTATTAAAATATGACTCTATCCTATTTATTTATTTACAAACAGAGTTATTATAAAGACCGCAGAATTTGTGAAAGGATGTCTTTTATGAAAAATGTTAAAATCCTTGTAACATCAACTAATTTTCAGGAGATTGCTTCGTTTTAAAAACTGATCAAGTCCCAAGACCGTAAACTGAGACCAGTCTTTATACAAAGTTTCAAATCAATATAACTAAAAAATAATTTTGATAATGAACCAAAGTTTTAAGCTTACCTAAGCTGAAAGGTCAAGTTAGCTTTTCTGATCACATTTTATCTGCAGTCCGTCTGTCCGTCTGTTTGTCTGTCCGTCCGCCTGTAAACTTTTTCACATTTTCGACTCTTTCTCCAGAGCCACTGGGCCAATTTCAACCAAACTTGCCACAAAGTATCCTTCGGTAAAGGAAATTCAAATTTGTTTAAATGAAGGGTCACGCCCTCATTCAAGAGATAATTCAGAAATAGTGAATTTTTTTAATCTTCTTATGAAGAACCACTGGGCTAAAAACGTTGAGACTTATAGGAAAACTTCTTTACATGTTGTGAATTCAAAGTTCAAATGATGACCCCTGGGGGTAAGGTGGGGCAACAATGGGGGATCAAAGTTTTATATAGGAATATATAGGAAAAAATCTTGAAAAATCTTTTTCTCAAAAAACATTGTTATTTCATACTGATATGGAAGCATTCTTATATAGTTAAGATTCAAGTTTGTTCAAATCATGGACCCTGGGGTAAAATGTGGCCACAATGGGGGATCAAAGTTTTGCATAGGAATTTATAAGAAAAACTTTAAAAAAATCTTTTTCTCCATAACAGCAATATCATGTGTAGTCGTATTGATTTGGGAGCATCATCAGGTAGTGTAGATTCAGATTTGTTCAAACCATGACCCCTGGGGTTAGGGTGGGGCCACAATGGGGGATCATAGATTTACATGGGAATATATAGGGGAAAAACGTTAACATTTT